TAGGGGTAGCCAAAGTTGTCGAGATCGCCTCATTCTGGCCATAGCCACACGAAGTTGGGCCTTAGCCCCCAACCGGGCCAAGAGGCCAAGCGAATCAGCTGGTGTTCGTGTGGTACTGCCTGTAAGCACATCAGCAGCAAGCGTGTGAATGTGGCAACCCCACAGAAAGTGGTGATTTTAATTTAAATACACACCAACACACATACTACATACACATGGCCATGGAAAGTAGGGAGACTATGTGAATAGCCAACCTGCTTGGCACAGAAAGATGGCATAAAATGCAGTCTCCTGAAGAAGTCGAAATGAAGTTGACTGTTTTTAGTCTCGTCTCTGACAAAATGCTTGAACTTTTCTGTCGTCAACACGAATAGTCTTCAGTGGAGCAGATCATCCGACCAATTTGCACACTCTTGATCCTGTGGAAGGATTGAAGAGGACATCCTATTGGCTGACTCCACTCACCTGGTCACCATGTCGACGAGTCCACTTGACATTTTCAGGCCTCCAGCGGCCAGGCCTCGGTTCGACATATCGTGTCGTTGTCGACTGAGCCTGGTCGGCCCGAGTCTAGCGAGGTGGGAGGTGTGCCCAAGTCGGTTGGATACGCGGGGGCAAGAAGGTGTGTAGGGCGGAGGGTGGGCAGACGATGAGATGTCGCCACTGAGGCTTCGTCAGCCGCTTCTTCCATGTCGTCGGGACGAAGAAGATCACTCGAGACGGCGATCGCGGCCGAGAGGTGATCGAGTCCGGGAGGGCCGGCCGAAGGCCGAGCCATGGCCAAAAGAGCCTGATGGAACAGGCTCGAGTCCAGGCGGGCCGCTGGTCGTCGACATGAGTCCGTCAACAATTGGGCCGCTTCCAGCCAGTCCGGGGCGGCCTGTTCGAGCTTCGGGTGGAGGAGCTGCTGCCCGGCCGGATTGGCCGAGCGCATTGGTTCGGCGTCAACGCCAGAGTGGAACGAGGCGCCGGCCAATCGGAGGACGTCGTGTCGGGCCCGCTGGGGTCCCCGTGGCGGCCAAGCCCAATGGCCGTCTGTCTGAAGCGACGAAGAAGAAGAAGAAGACGACGACGACGAC